TTTAATTTGATGTGGACCTCTCTCCACTAGTATTTGACAAGTTTCAGATGATATACAGAAAGCATTTCATAATGCAGAATCAAAAGGAACTTCGTTTAATATCTGCTACTGCTACTCCGCTCTTGATGAACTTCTGATGGTGTTATTTTTTGGCTCTCTTCAACAACTTCTGGAAGTGATTGGGCGGCACTGAGTTTTCATTTGCCAAATCCAAAGCAGGCACTGTTGATGTGGATGTGGACGACTCATCTAAACAGGACTTTTGTACAGTACTAAGAATTTCTTCATAACATAGCTTAGCTTTTTTCCTTCTTCCTTTTCTTTAAGCGTTTCTTTTTATATTGACTTCCAGACATTTTTTTTCCTTTTCTGTTCCATACTGTAATAAAAATATTAAATAAAAATTCACAGATCTTCGCAAAGACCGGAGGGGGTCATTGAAAATGATTAAATATGATGTTGCTTATCATGCTATTAAAATAGGGTAGATAAAATAATGATAGAAATGAGTTGCAAAGTTAGTAAGATTTGTAGGTAGCAGAACATAAACTTATAATCGAGATGGGTTGATGATGATGATAAGCGCAGAACCCAGACGGTTAGAAGTTCAAATTTGATACACAGAGTATGTCGTGAGAAAGTACACTAAGAAGGGATTTGTGGAAATTCCCCCCCCCCCCGCGGGAAGAGAGAGAGGATTAAGGCTTAATCTGAAGAACGGCTTCTACTGTACTATTTTAGATGCGATTTTTTGTTTTAACTGCGTTTTAGTAGCGTACGTCAGGAGAATGCACACTAAAAAGGGATTTTTCGAAATTCCAACCCCCCTCGAGGGAAGAGGAGGAGAGGCGGTCGCGCGGTATATTACAAACAAAAACAATAGCTTTGCGTTGTCACGTCAAAAGCCTTTTGCACGTTGTCACGTCACGCTAACAATGCACCTGCACCATAAACCGAAATCAAAGGGTACCGAGACACTTAGGCAGCGGCGTGCAATAAATCATAAATCGTATACATCAATATCGGAATAACGTAGACCAATATAGAAAAGCGTTGCGTAAAAATTTTTAATTATTGAATGATTCAAATAATGTTTTGATTTCTCTGCTTATGCCGCCTGATGCGGCCGCCTCTCTGCATCATAGCACGGCACGACCGTAGGTGAGCCACAAGCAAATTTTTTAGTGCTGATTGACTTATATACTCCATATACTTACGACATGATTCTTTTTTCTTACTATTTTTTATTCTTTTCGTCCTGTGAGTACTAAGAAACCTTTTTTCTACCCACATGGATTCATACACACTACGAACTGTTAAACTGCAACAGAACATTGTTCAACGACCTTCAGTGCTACAGCTCTCTGGGCTCTAAGAGAAAGATTTTTATCAAGCCCCATATGCGTTCTGCCAAATCCACAATGGGGCGGCCGGATGATGAGCGACAGACCCCACATATCCGGAGGACAGTTTGTTAATTGTTTGGTTAATTTGCGGCAATGCAACACTTGGCGATCTGCCTAAGGGAAATGCCTCCCGGAAGGTCTTTTTAAGGGTTGTTGGCCCCTATTCAGGGAACAGACGTGGAGAAAACCCGAAAAACCACGTGGCCAGCCAGTCCGGGCGAGGCGCGAACCCACGACCGAACTCCCAGCGTTCAGGAAACGGAACCGCTTGGCCACTGCTGGGCCAAGGACAGAGGCGTAACTAAAACGAGCGAAGGTGGACATGTGCCCAAAGCACCAAAATGAACTCG